TATGCTTTTTAGGGAAATAATTGACGGTTCTGTTGCATAATACTGGTACTAGGTGCAAAAAACTCACTTCATTAGTTTTACCATTGATTTATCAGTTTATCAAGCCTGACACATTGACAGTGGGATAAATAATTAAACTCGAAAAACATTGCACACCATCTAGTCTCACCTGTCCCTTTAAGTGAGTCAACCAAATCAATTTTGAAAATTCACAACCTAGTTTGGGGACAATTCTATCAATATTTGAATATTTAAGTCTGAAATTAACTGAAGTAAATTGACCTGGTAAATGGACCTGTATTTGTATAGCGCCTCTCTAGTCTTCCGACCACTCAAAGTGCTTTTGCACTACATGCCACATTCACCCTTTCACACACATTCACACAGTGCATAAGTCCATTGAACAGAAACTCATTCATGGACATTCACACACCGATGACACAGCATCAGGAGCAATTTGGGGTTCAGTACCTTGCTCAAGGATGCTTCAACATGCAGCCTGGGGTTGAACCAACAACTTTCCAAAAACGTTCTGATTAGTGGCGACCCGCTCTGCCTCTCAGCCACAAAGCCCCAGTGGCTGTCACTGAAATGCAAAGTTTTCTGCATTTAAACAACAAGTTTGATGATGTTGTGAAGTAGTGTGGGATCATGGGAGTTGTTGTCTTCACCACCATTGCCGTCATTGCAGTCAGCTTCTCCCGGTTAGGATTCCTTCAGTGTTCATGGTTCAGGAGGTTTCTACCGGGAGCCCAATGATCCACAGAGGTCTCCTCCTCTGCAAAACAAACAGACCCGCTGATTAAAACCACTAAAACCACTGAATAAAGCAGTTCCACCTTAAAAATCACTGCTTCTCCCACACTGTTGGACAGACAAAGGACGTCCACGAGGGGCTGCGAGCCGAGCTGCTGCTAACGTTAGCTCAGCTTGTTTCTCTGATAACTTAAGATCCAGACGTCCGATGACTAAAATCCTTCATCCAGTTCAAATCTAGAGTTAAAAAGCACCAAGATCTAAACAGTGGATGGTAACAATGTGGCCTCAGACTGAATAAACAGTCAATGTATGACAGCTTCTGGCAGACAACCACAACACTGACACAGGCACAAAGGGGATATGACGCCATCAACAGGCGAGCGGTAAAACGCACCGTTACCTGAATACAATGACAGATTTCTGAGTTTGAACACTGTTGGAAACATTTGGGATAATGGAAGTACACAACTAAACTGTTTATAGACATTTTTAATGTCAGATTATAGCTTTAATAGACTTTAATAGTTCCTACATGAAACTGCTCACAACAAGGTCTGTGGATTATCTTAGTAACCGGGTCATGATTTCTGGAAAGAGACATTGCTGTTGAGTTTCAAATGTATGTTTTTGCTGCTTTGAGCACCACAAGCCGATCTGGTTAAATTATATATTATATACAGACATCTCTATGACCAATTCCTCCAAAACTCATCAAATCACACCAAAACAATCTAGTTGCATAAATAGCCCTACAAAAATACATTTCAGATTTTGGGCTGAACTGTCCCTTTAAACCTCATAGTCAACCAACACAGTCTAAACAATTCAGTGACATGCAACAGCTCATTCCTGAAACAGATGGTCTCCCCCTGTCGGGAGCTGGTAACCCACCTGAAATAATGCCACTATTTTGGCTTTTAGACACTTTTTTGAGGCTTTTTTGGACACCTTTGTCATCCCACAAGGGTCTAAATGCTATTTCATAAGACTTATCTGCCCTGGCAAGAACAATATCCATTTTATTGGTAGGATTGGTATTAGGACTAACAGCCCACTATATTATTTGTTGGCAGCTTCATCCAATGCCATAAAAAACATTTAGTCAAAAGTAAGAAGTTCTCAATGAGAACCATCTTCCCTGACACACATCCCACCCACCTCTCACTTCATTAGTACTTTAATCACCTCAACAGGCATTTAATGGCATTCCTTTAAGTTGATGCCGGGGGTGAGGGGTTGGGGGGGGTAAAAGTATTTATGGTTCCAAACTGTGATTGGGGGGGAGAGAAAGTGCAGCAGGGTCGTGTTGCTGCCTGGCCCGCGCGTGGTAAAACACCATGGTGTCCCGCTTTATGAGTGGAACCAGGTTCCGCACAGGTCACCGTTGTTGGTGCAGCTGAGCTGGGGGCCAGGGGCCGCCGGTGCCCCCGGTTTGATGTGTTGAGGGGTTGTGTTTGTAAAAACAGGCCCTTTGATGACACTCTCTCCCTTTTCCAAGCAGTCAGCCCCTCCCTCCCTCCAACAGCACCGGTCAATCTGGAAGCCATTTGCTCGCTTTCCACAGAGAAAGTTCAGGCTTGATCACCTCCAGCATCTGCTGAGTGTTTATTTACCCACAGCACTTAACCCATTAGACAAACTGAAACAAGGCAACTGCAGCGCCACCGAGCACATCGGCCCTCTGAGGACAGGAGCCAGTGCTGTGCTTGCATTATCTAGAACGCACATCTTACACAACTTTACTGTATATTGTGTATACATTTTTTATATTCTAGATTTCTATTTGTTTCTCATTATATTTGTATTATATTGGCTCATTGCACTCTAGTTTGCTTGTGCTGCTGTGCCAAACTTGAATTTTTTCTAAAGGAACATCTTATCTTATCTTATGTGCAAACATCTTATACTGCTTTGGAAAGATGTATGCTTTCAAGACAATGCAGTGCTTGTAGTGTTAAAAGACTTATAGTCTTCTCATTTGATTGATATATCCTAATAAAAAAGTACATGAAAAGCTTTACAACAGTCTAATTGTTGGGGTCATGAGAATGTATCAGAAAAGGTGGAGAAGCTCAAATGAGAAACTTAACTGGAGCAGATTTTTAAAGGAAATTCCAAAGTGCTGACCTGCATGAGATGTCTACAAGGCCACAAGTCACAAAAGCATCTAATGTCACCAACAATGTCCAAGTCTTCTTCTCTATATCAGGAACTTTAGAGACTTCAGGGTACACAGAACAACATTCCCCTTAAAGGATAATCCCTCATTGGGTGTGTAACATATGACACAGGGTGTGATTCACAGTTTTTGGTGGAGGACGTGCTCAATCCCTTTCTTAAACGTACCACAATGGCTATGAAACAGTCAAAATTTAATGTTGATGACTCTTTATGTCCCATTAAAACAAAAAAGACCATCAGTGAGAAGATTGGCTATTTCTATATAGTTATTATGAATGCCTAACACTAGGTCAGATTCCAAATCAATGAAATGAGGAGGTAGAAACATTACAGCTCTTGTCCACAGGGGCACCAGAATCAACACAAAATGAAAGTTCCTTGGAGGGGCTGTAAGTAAAAGTAGCAGTAGTCTTGCATTCAGAATGTTACTAAGTAGTAGAGAAGTATTTTTAGCTAAAAGTACTTATTTGATGTTGGGCAATTTAACCTAGATAATGGCATTATATTTTATATTCTGATCACATACCCAGTTTCCAGTTTATTCAGTACACCTAGCTAAATCTAACAGTGTAAAATGTAGGAAAGTTACTGGAAAGAGGGATGGCACCACAGATGGGAGAGTGTTGTGTATTTTTTCTATTTGAGAGCGTTTCTCTATTATTTCTTGTCTTGTGTCGTTTTTGAATGGGCCACAAGGTAGAAAGATACATTTGGCCACCTGTAGAGGACCATAATCTGGTTTTCAGGGATGATCAACTAGTAGCTAATATAGTCAGTTTTAAGAAATCAAATAAATCTTTATACATAGTTCGTACATAGAACTCATCATTTTTCACTATCCCGTAATAGCCTCTATCTTCAGATGTACAGTAAAGTGAAATGTTTTATATGCAGTTAACCAAGTTCTGCTAAAGGGTGAATTTAAATAAAACCTGCTGACTATGGCTGCAGTTTGGAATGTTCTTTAGTCCACATTAATCTGAACTAGGGCTGCACAATTAACTGAAATATTATCAAAATATTGCATTATGGCCACGTACAATATTCAAAAATAATGTTTCCCACTAACTGTAAATCATCGCAATATCTGTCAAAATGATCCCAAAATGTTTTTACCATATCGTGCAGCCCTAATCTGAACACACACATTTACATTGTCTACTCTTTCTCAGTTTAACTATCACAGAGACGTTTAGAGCTGTGTTTATGAACACCATCTCCACTGTAAAACCAAACCAGCTGAACCAGAGCTTACAGTACGTAAGATCACAAGCTGCACACTGGACCCACTCAGTAATATAGGGGGACATGGGTGTTGCAGGTTTTCTCTCAGTGAAGGTCTAAATAAAATATGAATAATGTTGTGGCCTTCTTATAAAGTAAAACAGCAGGTTAAGCCTCCTCCCAACTCTTGTCATTTTTGCACAGTCCAAAACTACAAAACTGTACAAATCAGTTATTAATTCATTTTTGAGGTGGATTTAATTCATGGAATTTTTTGATGATTAAGTTATATTAGCTTACTTCTTTTATGTAGGATTTACAGTGAGGAGGAAACTAATTGCCAAATGCTGGGTTAGTTACTTAAAAAAAAAAAAAAAAAAAAACCACAACTGTACTAACTGTTACACTGCTACTAGTTATTATTACTAGCAATGCCTTACTGCCCAACACTAATAGAATAAAGTGGCATAAATACTGAAGTCGTTCAAGTACCTCAAAATTAGGCTTCAGTACAGCTTGAGTAAATGTTCTTAGTTATATTGCACCACTTTCCACTGCATTTCACTGTCATCAAACCCTTTAGTGAAATACTGTGTGCAAGCATCTGAAGCTGAAGGTCACCTAACCATCATCCCAAATGTGTCATCATGTCCCTTAAGTGCCAGTGTTTGCTTCTCTCTCTGCTCATAAAAACTAATGGCTCATTTTGGTGAACATACACTCTGCCTGTGACTTTTAGAACCAAAACATTTGGGAGGATGGGAGCCCCTGCATGTGCTCTACCACTCCCCTTCCAGCTGAGGGGCTACTGTAGCTGCTATAAGAGCCCTCCCTGTCATGAGGACTATCACTGGGCCATCCTATGGGGAAGTGTCTAAACAAACTGTGGGCTTCTGCTGGCTAAACCTTGGAGTTACAGCGACTTTTACGCACGGCTGTCGTCTGCATGCTGCTGTTTTCTACTTGAATACGCGGGATTGGCTCTCCCTGTGCAACACTTATGATGGCTTTCACCATGCTGAGGCCGGTGTCGACGCATCCCTTCTCTTACCCCGCTGACCTGACCTTGATGTCGGACGACGAGGAGGGGAACCGCAGCGAGAGCGACGGCAGTAGCACGGACCAGGGCTACGGCTGCTGCGGGATTCCGGGGGACAGTTACCGGCTGGAGTCCGGCGGCGTGGTGCGACAGCGGAACGCCGCTAACGCCAGGGAGAGATACCGGACCCAGAACGTCAACACGGCCTTCACGGCGCTGCGGACACTCATCCCCACGGAGCCGGTGGACAGGAAACTCTCCAAAATCGAGACACTGCGCCTGGCGTCCAGCTATATCTCCCACTTGGCCAACGTGCTGGTGGTCGGGGACGGGAGGGAGGACGGCCAGCCGTGCCTCAGTGCCGTGTACAAGGAGGTGAAGGGGGGTGGAGAAGGCAAACAGCCCCGGACTATCTGCACATTCTGCCTCAGCAACCAACGGAAAGGGGTAAAATATTCATTGCATATGCAGAAAAACACTTGTCAGATATATCTCCCAGAACTGCATTTCAAAATGTACTATTTTAACACTTCTTTACTGTTGGCAAGCGTAACACATGCAGCATTTATTATTGTAGATCTTCTTATAATTCACCAGGGTCCACTGTTTAATACCGCGTATATTCAGTAAAACATGCAAAGCTTTTTAAAATGCAGTTTCAACTTCCATAATTGCTCCGCCTGTCATTCCTGCGAAATGCACAACGGGGGAACCAAGTTGCAGAGTTGATGCACCATTTGTATGCCGAATTTCCAATAAAACCCTAATATTTCTGAAAAAATATATTCATTGATGCATGACATTGTGTGTGTCTTTGTAGATAGAAGAGGCAAACACAAAAGTTGCACATTTATAAATGGGTTCAGCATGAAGGAAGAAAGGCAGGTCAGTGCGCCCAGAGCGCCAGTTAAATAGTCGGAATATTGGTTTTCGAATGCCAGTTAGTGCTGTGAATGAATTCTGGTGCCACATCATAATATGTTTAATGTTCAACATTAAGATTAAAGTGTGTGCTATTTGATTTCAGCATTCTAACATTATTTTATATCATAATTCAGGGCTGAGAGCTATGAGTTTTATTGGAAAAATACTATAGACATAATGTATTTGCGTAGCGTTTTTACAACAGTTCATCAGAACATCAAATAGTTTGACTGGAATAAGTCTGTTCCACTTTAGAAGGAGGTCATATGACACTGTGGGGTCAGAATGAGCTGCATGCACCCCAGTAAAACGGACACAGCCCATCTTGGGATTCAGATGCCTGTGTTGGGATTTAGTTTATTTATAGTTGCCATATCATTCAGTGCATGGAGATATCCTTTAAAGGAAAACTGTGCTTTTACCCACTCTAGACAGATATGTAATTGCACTGAACCTATTTATATGCTCTTAGGAAAATACATCAAAACATCAGAACTATTTATTTCCATAGGCACACTGTGATGATGTTTGAACTGGCAGTGACAGTTCCCTCTGTGTCCACAGGTGAAAGACAGACGAGACTGTGTGAAAAGGCACGGAAGCAGTGCGAGACAAATAAGTCGACGATGAAACTGGGAGTAGGACTGGATCTCTTCAGAGCGGACCTCCGCCGACCATTCCTAGAGTCTAGAAGCATCTCAGCACCACAACAGTCTTTGAGGACTACTTTGCATTTTGGGAGTTTGGCTCATTGGACATTTTACCCAGTGCCAGAGGACTGGCACCAAAACCATCTGTGTGTCACCTGCAGATACAGTAACTCTGTCCAGTGTAATGGCACAAGGGAATATGCAGTCAAAGCTGCAGTATGGTCAGGGATATTCCTTTTTATTTTAATGACCAACTACAGTCAAATTCTACATGATGAATGATCTTTCAGAAGCAGAATATATTTTGGCCTCTAAGCATAATTTTATATATAAATACATTTTTTAAACAGGAAGTCAGTAACAGCAGACAGGTTTCGGCATTATTTATTTACTAAAAAAATCTACGGGCCATGGAATACACAACATTACCGGCTCTGGAATAGGCCTAAATCACGAAGAAGTAAGCAAAAGGCTAATCACCTTTTATTACTTAAAAGCACAATCCATAATCCAAATGTAAATAAAAGGATATCCTCTCCATTCAAGTTCAAAACAAAGGATCTGAAACAGCTAACAAATGATAACTAAATATATACTGTCAAAGTTGTGTGATGTTACTTAAGGCTTATTTACATAAATAATAGTTACATAGTTATAATAATAATAGTCTATAGTTACATATGTGAACTTACAAGTAATTTATATAATTTGATAATGGTCCTTTAAAGCTGCAGTAGGTAATTTTTATAAAAATATTTCATATTCATATTTGCTTAAACTTTCACTATATCCTGACAGTAGTACATGAGACAGACTGATCTGTGAAGAAATCAGGTTCCTCTGGCTCATTCTATTTGTCCTAATGACATCTGAACGTAAACAATCAATCAGAACCAAGAAAGATAGTGTTGGGTCTCATTCCCAGTGCATCATATACAGACACGTTGGGACCCTGGGATTAAGACTCAACAGTCAACTATCTTCAAGCTTTTAACCCAAAATGTCTATATCTTTCTCAGCTCTGATTCTTGCAAATGCCATTAGGAGCACTAGAATGAGCCAGAGGAACAATATCTTTTCACAGATTATCTGTCTCATGTACTACTTTCAGGATATAGTGAAAGTATTAGCAAATATGACAAAAAGTAAATTCTATACTTACCTATTGCTGCTTTAAATATTGGATGCCAATGCATTCGCATGACTGCAGCACAGACGGATCTATTAGAGACACTGAGATGCTTTTGGTGCCTATCTTCTAATATACTGTATTTAAGGGTTAGGGTTAGGGTTACTGACTGACAAGGCAAACTCCTGCAAAAGTTTGCATCATTTTAAATGATCTTGGGAAGCTAGGCTCACAAAAAGACTTGCAGCCGACAGCAGAGCAGCTTCAGCAATTTGAGAGGACAGACCACTCCATCTGCCTAAGCTGGTCATGTGAAGTTGTGTGCGACAGAAGATATCTGTGGGACACTATTTTGTTTGCTTTTTCATTACATGTTGTAATCTACTTTGAAATTAAATTTATTTTTACATAGACCCGACTCTCATGTTGCCTTCAGTGTAATGGTAATGTGTTTTGAAGTAGTTCAAGGTTGCAGTGCTTTTGCACATTCTGTTAACAATAGTTTTAAACACTGCACAGAAAATATTCTTGTTGATTTGTAATTGACGCTTAAGTCCCACCCCTTTTTGCTCCAATCACAGTTGAGCAAGCCTCAGTCAGAACTTCTACTAGATATGCTATGTGCTAGGCTAATCTATGTTGAAAAGACAACTAAATTTTGAAGACGGTTTAAAGAAAGAGTTAACTAGATAATGTTGGCAAAACATTAGCTAACTAGCTAATCTATGGCCAACTTAGCTAGCTAGTTACATCTGAATGCTGATATTAGGAAAACACTTGCTAACTAAACATTCAAAATTTTGCTAACACTAGCTAGCTAACTAAAGATGCCAGTAAAGTTAAAGTTAATTGGTTCACTCAGTTTGCAAAAAAAACAAAATTAAAATTTTAAATGACCTCTGTTGGTATCTAGTCATGCAGATAGTTTTACAATAGCAAATATCTCTTAGCAGAGACAGTTAAGAAGTGCGGACAGCCTGTTCTGTGGACTGTCCAGGGATACTGTATATGGGTGGAAACAGAAATCTCCAAGATCTGCATGGCTGGATACTATAAGATGTAAGTGACAAAATATGTTTAAGTAATTTGTGTGAACTGACCCTTTAACACAGCAGCATTAGTTTAGAAATCAGTGAAGCTGCAAAAACCGCAGGCTCCTGGAGCTGTAAACCCCTTCAGATCTCTATTTTCCTGATTATTTTAAAGGTTATTAAACACATTCAGGACAGTTGGAGCCCAAAGAACAAACCACTTAACTTTACTGGCATCTTCTGCCTGCAACTGCTCAGAGGAGGAAACCTATACGGGGAATTCCACTGAACGCTTACCTTCTCCGTCTGAGTAATGCCAAGGAATCTCAACAGAGGAAGCAATCAATCTCTTCCTCAGCGGGCTCTCTCTCTGAAATCGTTGTATATCAGCGGTATCTGACCACAGAGAGCCCTGTCAGGGTGGTACTAGGTGCAGAGTGCCAGTTAGGAAGGCATGAATCAGGGTCAGCTCTGGGAAAAGGTAAAGGCAAAAACAGGAAAGACACAAATTAGTGTTGTTGGATCCATTGTGGTGACCGATGATTACTCATGGGGACCATCAGGGAGCGTAGCACATTACTGGAGCCATGCCAGTGAGATCATCCACAGAGAGGAAGAAGCAGAGTTTAAAGTTTGGTGTTAGAGCTAAAAAAAACACCTCTTTAAAAGTAGTTCACAAATTTGACAAATCAAACTCTTGTTTTCCTGGATGCAACTGAAACTGGAGTAGCTCATTTTCTGTTTTCATGAATAACACAATGTTAGAGTTTTGGAGATTTGGAACCGGTGTCCAGGAAAATACAGAAATCTGAGGGCTGATGTCTGGCATGACTCTGCTCTGGTTCCCAGGTTGGGATCCACATGTGGTGTTGATCAGTCACAGCTAATATCACCTAGCACCCTGTGTCCAGACAAACACAGCTGCTGATGAATTAATGTCATAGATCACAGCAGGAGAGCAGCACGGTGCAACGTGTGAGAATCGATGTTATGCGCACATCCAGGTTTTTAATTGGATGCACCACGAGCAACAAAAAGTGCTCAGAGGAAGTGCTTAAAGGATGAATGCCAGCAGATTGATTGGAAAAATCTGCACAGCATTACCTTATAACAATCACATAATGTGAGGAAAATAAAAGTAGACAAGATGTCCACTGTGATGGATTACCTGAAATAAATTGAAAAATGTTAAAACACAGCAGTATTTCTGGAATATTATTGGAATTTTGAAGGAATACATTTTTGAAATGTACTCGTTTGCTTTCTTGCAGAGAATTAGATGAGGGGATCGATACCACTCTCACATCCGTCCCCCTCCAGTCAAAAATCAGTGTTTCTTTTTGTTCCTACAGTGAGATGTTTGATCTTCAATGTGCAGAATGATGTATGTGCATAGTTAACACCAGAAGGATGTTTTCATATTCATAGATTCTGGAATTTCTTAATACTGTCTGCAGGAGATCATTAAATATGAAGCTACAGCTAGGGGCAATTAGCTTGGCTTAGCACAAACTGGAAACAAGGAAACAGCTAGCCTAGCTCTGTACAAAGGTAGGTCAAGCACCAGTAAAGCTCACAAATGAACATGTTATAGCTTGTTTAATCTATACAAAGACCAAAGGAAAAAGGTTGAGTTTAAGTTGTGTAGTATTTCTAGGCTAGCTGTTTCCCCCACTTTTTTGCTAAGCTAAGTTAACCAGTGCGGCTCTAGCTTTACAGTACTGAGGTGAGAGTAGTTGACCTTCTCAACTCTCAGCAAGAAAGTGAATAATTACGTTTTCCAAAATGTCAAACAACTCCTTTAAGTACAGGTAATTGATGGTAAATGGACAAAATCTTTATGATCCCAATCGTATACAGTGATGTCTACAGTGTGAGAGCTTTAGCCCCAAAGAGGAAGGTGTAGTGGTTGAATTTAAATTGTGCAGTCTCTACCACTGCTACAAGTGCAGTATATCATCATCCAAGTATAATATATGTCAAAGTCTATATTACTATACCTGATGTGTTTTCCTAGAAAAACAGCAGTTGTGCATGTGAAGTCTCTTTTTTGTGTACACTACAACACACAGGGCCTCTGTATTTCTGTCATAACCTTTCCTTACAAAAGCACTCAACAAAAGTTACTTACCGTCACATTGTGAGGTGCAAAACAGCCAACCATGAGATTTATTGCAGATTTTAAACATTTGACAACACAGTTATGACCAAACTGAATCCTCTAAATCACCCCTGAAGTGATGTTTGGAGGGACACCCCCTCTGAAAGAAAGTTATTGCTCTCGCAGTCCTCTGGGGCGGCACAAATAACTGCACACTTGCATAAAGCATCCCAACCCTCCATTTTCTCTCCACCTGTCAGTGCTAAAGCCTAATTAGAAGCTGCTGTGTGAGCTTATCCTGCAGCACCGAAGGCCCGGCGGAGCCCCACTCAATGGCTCCCAGAGGCCCCCCCAGGCAGGAAGATGTCATAAGAGGAACAGGAAGGAAAAGGCCTGAGTGCTCGACCCTGTTGAGGCCCTCCCTGTGGGGCCCGGGGCCCTGGGTCAGTGCCAGCTTTGACATCAACTGGGGCCCAGATGGCCCACTCTGCTCAGCTGATGCTTATTTTAATTCCTGGGTGGGAAAGCATGGCTGAACAAAACTCAGTTGAGTCACTTTTAATTATTGTGACTCAGATTTTACACTGAATTCACTGAATGGGCAGGTCCCGTAGGTCACATGAAACATAGCATAAAACAATTAAAAATTGTTTTATATAACATTTTAAAAAACATACAGATTGTGTTTGACTGGGCTGTGATATAAGGACAACCATAGTGCAAAAAAGAAACATGGTTAAAGGTCCAGTGTGTAACATTTAGGAGGATCTATTGTCAGAAATGGAATATAATATTCATAGGGAAGTTTTCATCAGTGTATAATCACCTGATAATAAGAATGCCATGTTAAACAGCTAAGTTTCTACGGTAGCCCAGAACGGACAAACAAAACACTGGCTCTAGATAAGAATGTTAACGTTTTCCACACATTTAGCGGCCACCATAGTTTCTCCTTTGCGCTTAGAAAGGGAAAGTGAAGCGAATGAGTTGTAATCAGTGACTACATCCTACACACAGGAACTTTTAAATAGCTAAATCACTGCATAAACAGACATAAGTACCTACACAAGTGACTATAGAATAATAGGTGCAATGTGTCAAAAAGTAATGTTGATACAGAGGGGGAATATTTTATATCTTCTGTATATTATTGCAATCCACACAAGAGGTAGAGAGGAAAGTATGACCGGTGTGGTTTCTTATTAAAGTTAGTGATATCCCTTTGCAGGACAGTATAAAGTTCCATCTGAACATAAATTAATCTGTCAAAGTCTTCAGCAGCGCTTTCCCGATCTTCAACCCCATCTGGTAAGCATTAGTGGAGGATACCATGGGGCAAATAGGAAGGGTTAAGACTGCGATACAGTTCCCCTCCACCACACTTAGCCCTAAACAGACCCTTATGGTGCTGTAGCTCAACTGTTTGACAGGACATACACCTTCCCCCCCCCTCACTGCCTCTTGTTCAACCCTGCCAGAGGAGGTAATCGCCATCAGACATGCACTCCGGGCCCTTTCATGGGACAGCAGCCTTGGATAGACCGCTTCCGATTTTTATGATTGTTTTCCATTGATGGGTGGAGTGGGAGAGCAGGGAGCAACCCAATCCTCTGCAGCAGCCAAACAGGCACTAACTGGGCCAGACCACAGTCGTGTGTGTGTCTGTCTGTGTGTGTGTGTACTGTACATAGAGTTTGACTGATAAGACTATTTAAAGGCCGATACTAATACATATCTTTTTAGGTTGAGGGGTGCTTGCTAAGGGAATTACTTTCAACAGGTTTGCTGCAGGATATCTGAAAACTTCCTCAAAGGATGCTGATTTGTACCACGTAGGGCCACAAACGCATAGATGAAGCATGGAAAAATGTATTCTTGCGTGACCCAAATTAGAAAATTGGGCCAAATTTCTGCCATTCATTTTGTCACACACTTAAAATTGACAAAACTATGGAAAGTAATTATTACAAGTTATGTTAAGAAAGGAACCTCCATTGTTGTATATCAGAGGTGGACGACCCTGCCTGTTGACGTCCAGTGAGGCCAATATCACATTCATATTATCACATATCGGTCTAACAGAGCAGATGAGTGTGTGGGTGTGTGTTCTGAATGGGCGACGGTGTTGACGGATGCTCTCGGGACTATTGTTTCCCTCCCAACATGCAGTGGGAGGAAGCAGTGGAATGACCTGAGACATTAGTACAGACAATATCAGTCCACCGGGGCAGGGCTCTGATTGCTCGCTGCTTGGCTCCTGCTCCTTTACCTCAGTGTTAGG